ATATATATATATATATATATATATATATATATATATATATATATATATATATCCCGGTCTATGGATGAATTTTGCAAATGTATGCTGTATTTACGGATATTGTCAGTTTAATTAGGCCATCAATATGTTTTCGTATATCGCCACTTCAATTTCAGCCACTAACACAACATTGGTAGATATTATCAGCTCATGATTTAGCTCATGACATTTGTGAATAATGTGACTTGTCCATGACTCAAAGGATCATTTTTCCTAGTGAACTGACTCAGGTTGCAACTGAACCTAAATCATTGACTCCTGAGTGCATTTACGGTTCACCTTGAGTCAAACACAAGTCTGGCTGGCATACACATATGTCCTGGCATTATAGCTTGATCTGAGTCGAGTGACAAATAATTCCTAGATGTGAGCTTAACCGTAAAATGTGCATGTAAGTTGAAAAAAACAATTAAAGACTCAGCTTAATTCAGCAGGCCCCAGTTTCGAAAACCAGAGCACCGGGCCCAACTTTCGTTTTCCAAACTGAGGAGCCCATTAAAAACCATTGGGTGTATGATCCTATAGGATATAAAGGACAACATCTGCATAGCTTTGTAAGTGATGGTAGAAAAGCACACAGTGTGTTGAAAACCTCAGGAATATATATATATATATATATATATATATATATATATATATATATATATAATGTATGTATGTGTATGGGGAATATGGGCTGTGTGCGTGTTCTTGGCAAGGAGTTCATGTATTGCGTGCACACTCAGGCGATGTGTGGCCGTATGCATCAGCGCCGTCCCACGCGCGGCGGCCGGCCGTCAGGACCGCTGATCCGCGCGACATCTGGCCACGACTGAGCCGCTGGTCTCAGAGCAAAATGGAAACAGCTAGGGGGAAACATGAACTGACTGTATTCGAGATCAAACAAACATAAATACCTGCGAAGCTAAGGTATGGGCTTTGCGGTGATATCCCGAAGCGACAAGGGCTGATATCTTTCTACACAAGAATCACTACTGAACTGAATTGAAATGCATCAACGATCAGACAGAAACATGTGGCCTGTTACACTTTTTATAACATGCTTACGAATGACACTTTTTATAACATGCTTACGAATGCCGGTGACATTACCTAGATATGCTGTGAACAGTACTGCGAGTGGTGCTACGATGCGAACGAAGTTGACCTTTTTCCATATGCGCATTTAAGACGACTGTACAACATTTTCGACCATCGTTGAATTGATCGAGCCTTCCTAATCTGAGGTGAAATCCAGTCAAAGCCCAAGTTCGGCTAGAATGAACTGTCCGAATCATGGGCAGTCCACTCATCGTGAAATTAAGTTTTGCGGCACAGCGAAAACACAGTTTTAATTCTCACGTGCCCTTGGTGTTACATATCCTCAGCATACAGATACGTCACACCTTGCTACGGGCCCTAAAAACACGCGACACCTACGAGCACACACGTGTTCTAAGTAAAGTTTCAAGTCACCTGAGTTTCTAGCAGCCAAATGTAGGTGGAACAGTTAGAGCACCGACGCCTTCTTGGCTTGACAGCATTGCCGGCTGATGCGGCGGCGAGGCGCGCACCAGCCGTTTGCCGGCGACAAAACTGCATACTGCCACCGCGCGAACAGCGCTGTTACGCCTATAGTAATCTCAACCCCGCACATTTTAAGGGGATCATCATATATTAACGCATGGCACACAAGTAAAACCAGACAACATCCAGTACAAAAGCATGGCATTCTCCGTCGTGTCATCACGGCATATCACGTTGTCCCGTCACACCTCACCCCGCGTCGCGCAAGGGAAAATAGCATACCACAGACAGCACCGCCACGTGGCAACATGTTTGTCACATATTTGCCCTTCGACAAGCTCCGCACAAATTGTTATGCTGCAGTGAAAGCCCTTACTGCTAAATAATAAGCTTGATGTGACGTCATCGTGGACAGAATGACGTAGATGGATGAAGCAGGCAGTGAAGTGAATAGAACCTGCACACGAGGAAAAACCGACATCAGTCCCTCATATTCCATAATTGAGGACATGCCAGACTAGGCTACATCATGTTGGGCTCTAACAAACACATACGGGCGGGCAAGAGCGACAACCTATTCCAAGGGCACCATTTCGCAATAATATGCTTAAACCATTTCTCTTCGCATCAGTTATTCTCCCCCAGCATGATGTGATTGGGTGCTCACCGTGTTGGGTCCTTCTGCTTGTTAAATATCTCCAGGTTGATGACATTCTCCGTGTCCCCGTCGTTGGCATAGCTGAGCGATATCTAGAACGACACAGCAGTTTAATCAGCTGCAACAGGGCTGCACGGGGCTGCTCAGTCAGGGCTGACGGTCCCTGTTTCACACTAACGGTGGTGACTGAAATGGAAGCAGTTCACTAGTGGACGCACAGATAACTGCCAGGCACTTCGCATCTTAAAGCGCCGCGGAAAACGTGGGAGACTGAAAATGGCGATACTTAAAACTGAAGAACTGAACAGGACCACATGACAACGAAATGACAGAACAGCGGCGTTTCTGATGCTTGTGCCTGGCGTTGTACGCGCCTTTGCACCTCACCAAATCTTTGATCACGCTTTTCACGCTGCGTCCACGGCAGCGATTATTGATGGCAACCGTGGGGGTCTGCACTGCTCGCATATATTTTTTCGTACATGCGTTTCCAAGCAGCCCGTGTAAACAGCGAGGGCAATAGTGCTGACAGATTCCGGTCGATTCAGCATATTTCACATTTCTGGCGCACAGGCGACGTATTGAAAATGCATTTCTATTAGTTTGGTTTGACTTCCGCATCTCATTACGAAGGGGCATCGGGGATATGCACGTTTTGTGTTGGTCTCTCTTTGGTATTGGTTGTGCTGGCATTGACTTACCACCCCTGCTTGGGACAAGCCCTGCAGGTTGATCATGCTCACGGAGTTAAGCTTTGGGTGTAATCAGCTGGATTGGGTCTGGTTCTACACAGTTATTTTGTGTTACAGCATTCGCATGGGCAATGTATATAACTAGATGGAAATTCTGAGTTCATGCACAGTAGTTTTCCTTATAATAAATGGCAGATTATATTGCAATATGCAGTAATGTTCCTTATTCTGAAAATACTGCTGTTTTGATGAAAAATTGACTGTTTTTATCAATTTGCTTCTGAATTTAGTAAAGAAGTGTACAAAACTCAGTAATAGGAACTGATACATAGGTTTATTAGCTGAGGCCAGCATTACACAAAATGTCCGCATCCAGCATCCAGACAACAAATCACCTGCTGCACAGGACACCCACAAGGCATCTGTGCTTGGATCCTTGTACTTGGGTGTAAAACTCTGGCCGGGCCAAATCACACTGAATTTTCAATCGTTGGTGTGTAAAGGGATGTTTTGGCATGTGTCTGCCTGAAAATATCTTTGTAACATCATAATTAATTGAAACATTGGCTCTCTTACCACTTGAGTTGGTGGCACCTGTGCGCTTAACTATGAGCTCTTGGACTTAAAGGGTATATGCTGAGTGTACTCATGATGTCACTGCTGTGCTGCACATGATCTACCCTTACTCCAGACATGTCAAGTGTCAAGTGTACTTTGTTGCAATCTGCGTTTACATTGATCACATTATCTGTTACACTTAAATCACTTTCTTTCACAAATGACTAGTTGAATGCGTGTGCAACAAGGTAAGACACATCAGGACTATTCTCCAGCATCTTTATTTTTCAAGGAGCATAGCACCCTGAATGTCTTCTGATCGTTTTAATGAGCACAAGCGGTGATGATATTTATATTTCATAACTTTTATATGTGTGCTTAAATAATCGCCTATTTCTGGCTGCTATGAAATAGTTCTCTGGTCTTAGTTCACAAAAACTTAAGTTAAACATGCTCATGGCTCCAGTATGCCTTAATATGCTTTCAAAGGAATGCTTGTGATCTCACGTGCCTATTAACAACTTAGATGCGACCTGGGACTGGTAGACAGCAAAATAAGAAGGTGTCCAAATCTGTACGGATCCTGCAAATAGATACCAAATATAACCAAGCATTCCAGACCCCACATTCTAATGCCTGATACCTGGTACGAAACGTGATGGCTACACGAGACACCGATGGCTAAAGGTCTTGATGACCACAACCGAGCATGGGGTTAGAAACACACGTCCCAGGAGTATCAGTATAGTAAAACATCGGGCTCCTGCATCCTAGCAACGGATATCCTGTGCGTGAAAAGGGCTGCCGGAAACACGACGGCTAGGATAAAAGGTTTCATAGACCCGTGCCGTGTATAAGGTATCAAGGTGATCTGTTACAGGCTATCAGTACTCTAGTCGTTGTTCCGCCGTCCGCGTGCCCCCAATAAGCCGCACTACATTTTGCGAAGAATACTTGCAGTGGGTGTTTATGATAGGTCAAAACGTGTTGAGAAACGATGGGAGACTCAAACTTTTCAGGGCACTGAAATTGAAATAATAGGATAGATTACAAGAAGGACCGTTTGACGCGCTGTATTAGTTGTCAGACACCAAGTCAGCCATGGTAAAGTCAGTCGTCCTGCAGACTGCATACAATTTTGAGAGGACGCAGCGTACCTTCTTAAAACGTAAATGCCTATTTTCAAAGGGTAATTGGGCTGTTCTTTCCTGGCAGGATGACGTGATACGCCATCTGGATGGTTTGCCATGCTGCGTGCGGAGGCTACCCTCGCCACAGAGCTGACGCCAGGACCGTCCAGGGAGGCCGCCGAGACGTCAGCCCTTCAGTATTGCACGGCCGTCCAGGGAGGCTGCCGAGATGCCAGCCCTTCAGTATTGCACGGAGAACCCATGGGACCGAGCCGATGACAACAGCGATGACGATGACTTTGTGGATCCCCCGTTACGTCAGACCGTCTGACCTGTCGGCGCCCGCGGTGGTCCGTAGCACCCCCCGCCTGTGGCCGACCCAACGGCCGCTGTGTGCATCTTGCCCTGTCGGATCTCCTAGGCAAGATGCAGAAGTTCATTCTTGAAGATCTGGACGATCACCCTGAGCAAGGCTCGACATGGGACAAGGCGCTGTCGGCATTCATAATTGAGTGGTGCGCCGCCACGTCCTCCGTCTCCCCCTGTCAGAGCCAGCTCCAAGTGCAGCGTCAACTAGGTTGGCGCAAAAGCGTGGCCACCATCTCTGTCCTCCGGTCGGAGAAGCGGAAACCTATCCACTTCGTAGACGGCAGCGTGCAGCGGCGCGGCCTAGACTCCTGTTGTGCGTACGGCTGGGAAGGAGTCTGATTTCACGTTGTGCAGTCTCCGTCTTCTTTGTGGCTACAGAAGCGGGGGTGGCCTGGTGCGATGATGCGCAATGGTGGTGTTCGACGGTGTATTTGATGGTTTTATTATGATGATGTGTTTGCCTGAGGACGGGAAACTGTACGCCGTGCTAGGTGCAGTCTCCTTTTTGGCAGCACACATCACTTGTAAAGCTTGCAAAGTTGTTTTATTGTGTTTGTGAGAAGTCGTTAGGACGGAATGTGTTGTCTGGTTGGTACGGGATGTGTCTAAACTGTCGTCTTCTCGTTGTGTTTGCTGAGATGTGTTCCGTCGATCTGAATACACTTGCATGGCGTGTTGAAGCTGATGATCTCGTTCATATCACCGTCCGCGATTTGTAGGTCTTCGAGCGTTCAGCCGGGATTCTTGTACGCGCACCACCACACCATTGCCATAAGAAGTCAATGACGTCCGGTACAGCGCACCATCTCATAGGCTAGGTCATTGAAATAGTGCAGCCGACGGGGCTCCCAAAAAATGATAGGTGTCAGGCGACGTAGCGCGAGGCCCGTCTGTTCCAATTCGGATCCTGCGCAGTGGGTGTTCTCGTCGGATCATCCGGGATTCCGGGGTTACGTCGTTCTTCATACAAGTCACGACATAGAATGCACTAGAAATATAGGCATTTGTATAATTAACATGGTTTAAGCCCCGTTGCTTTCAGAACGGATATCCAGGCACGTGTGCAGTGGCTAACAATTATTGGTGGTCATAGGTTCCAATTAAAGCTCTAGTTTCGCCAAATCCGTTGAGCAACGCAATGAGCACGGAATTGGCTAACCTGTGGTACGGTAAACATGAAGTTTGAATGCATCAAATAAATGCAATTGAGTCTAAAGCTAGGTCTAAGTGCCCATTCTTTCCGTTCTTGTATTACATGCCCATGATCTCCTTATGTGGGTACCTTCGGTATATTTACAATAGTACGTTTAGGTTCATATGCCTTCACGTTTTCCCGTCGTATCTGAGGACTGTGTCGCAAAAGGGAGTCAGAAATTGGGCATGAGCTTGAAGATATTGCATCTTCAAAGATCCTCCAAGGAGGCCTGCACTCCGCGGGATTTTCGTTAGCATGACGTGCTATTTTGTAGGGACTCATGTTATACGGCAGAACAAGGTGGAAGTGGGGAAAAGGAGAAGGGGGCGGGGCGTAAGATCGTTCGCTCAGCTGCGATTTGTCGGCGACCCGAGAAGTCGAGGCCCTTAACGAAATGCGATGTTAAGCCCCTGGACCACGTGGCGATCTTATCACCACTGCACGGCTCTGCTGACCTCTCCGCTCAGCTGTCCATCCAGACATCCTTACCGGATCGCTCAGCATCCGTCCAGGTATCCATACCTGTTCGCCCAGTTCCTCGCTGCGAATGAAGTTCATCTCCTCAGGGTGGGAGTGAAATAGGTCCACCACAGTCAGCGGCACCTTCAGCAGGTGTTCTGCAACGGCGCCGGCAGCGTCACCAGCAGCACGCTCAGACAGACACTGAGGCGGCGCCTCACTGCCATTGCCCACCATTGCTTCACTGTCATTGCCCACCATTACTTCACTGCCATTGCCCACTGGCAAGCAAGGCGCCCGGTGCAAACAAGCATTGTGGAGAGTGTTCAAGCATGACATGATGGATGGCCTGCGTACAACCGCAGGGGAATGAACTGACAGGGACCGCACAGCGGCGTCCAGGCTTCGATTAAAGACGATGGCAATCTCTCCCTGCGGCGCGGCTTGCCGTCTCTTCCCTTGGGCGTGGTGCGGCGTCGTACGTCAAACGCGGCAGCAAAATCTTGTTTTGCCGCCGTCGGAATTGTGAGTCAGAGCGGGAGAGGACGATCAATCTCAGAATAACTGCGCAATGCTCATAGGAGCATCAGGAGAAGAACGAGGCACAAGGCTCTGATACTGGTATCTTGACACGATAAACATAACTACGAAGCGACTGCAATTACATTTTTGGGGAGTGTCAAGGGCTACGCATCTTGGTTGCAAACCCATTGGGCCCTTTGAGAGATCAAATTTATGTTGGACCCTGCTCCAGCGAAATCGACTCCAGCTCCGACTCCAGGAGCACGTGGCTGATGCGCGCACAGGTTCGGACTAACTCAGACTCGGCCGCCGACTCCGGGCAACACCACACGGTCTCGAGCACTCGCACGTCGCGGCTTGAGCCGTGACGCACGAATGCTCGACAGCTGCAGAGTGGATTCCAATGCGGATGATCCGGTGGCAGTAGCGTATAAGCAAATGACCTGATTTAACATCTGCTGAATTCGGAACCAGCTCCGACTCCTTTAGAGCCGAGCGCAGGTTTGATGTGATGACGTCATACGTACCTACGATGTACCCAACAGTGACGTCATCGGGGAGACGATTCCTCTCGGCGACGCGCATGAAGTGGCCTCCGCTGCAAACCAAAGAACAGACGTTATTGGTCGGCGCCTGCAATTTTCGCCTACGTCAGTTGTCGCCACCGGAGGCGAAAGACATGATAATCTTTAAGGGCCGTTCCTTAGAGGGCTCCCATGACGACGTCTGTGGTAGGTCTCTTCGAGATGGGATAACCGCCTTGCGAATGCCATCGCGTACGTGACTTAACACTGCAAAACGAATCGACGTTGTTCCAAATCAGCTGTCCCACCGACCCTATCACGACTTGATCAAAGCGCGGCAACATCTTCTGGACTTATAGAGCTTGTGGCAAGTGGCAAATAAGGGCACGTATGAACTTCACTCACTGTTGGTTAGGTGGCTTTTAGTTAAGAAATCGGGTGCTTTCGGTTAGAAAACGGATTTTGCTCTCCAAATCCAATAAAGCAACAATAAGCAGAATCGTTGTTGCTCAGTGTTCTTTCTGCATGTCGACGCTCTCCAGTGGCGGTTAGGATACGTGAACATGTGTCTCTCCAGTGGCGGTCAGGATACGCGAACATGTGTCTCTCCAGTGGCGGTCAGGATACGCGAACATGTGTCCCTCCAGGGGCGGTCAGGATACGTGAACTTGTGTCTTTTGGCACAACGATTGCCACGCGCGATGAAGCACAATCGTGACCCACCAACAAAAAACGAGTCACAAACACCCTAAAGGTAGATCCATGTCACGTAGTTTGCCGTCTAGCCTCAGCCGGACCACTGCAAATTACTGGACCGGACCGGTGACCTCGGCGCCCAAGGTGGCGCCTGCTCCCGCCTGCTGCCGCCTGCACCACCCCACCGCGATGACCGCCACACCATCGGCCTATCACCAGACGGCCTCTGCGGCTAAATCACCGACGGCCAGGATTCAGGCCTGACACCGTATATTCGCTGGAGTTTGCCGTCTGCAAACACTAATGGAATGGTAGCTGCAGCGTAGTGTACGAGGCTGCGTTCAAATGCAGCAAAGCCGGTTGGCAGCAGTAAATACAGAAGCCGGCTGAGTTTGCAGCTTTCAATAAATCAGTAGGTTTTCACCGGACATAGGCTGCCCGCATTAATCTTCGGCGACCGTTCCAATAAGGATACGCCCGAAGGACGGGTAAATGAACACCGAAAGCGGGTGTAAGCGACCACGTGTTCACAAGGGTCCGCCGACTGCATCTGGCGACGCCGGCTGCGGTGGCGGGATGACCTACCCGGCGAACGGCGACATTTTCAACGCCAGGGCGCGACTCCAGCAGAAGCCTGCGCCGCCGGTGCCGAACCAGAATGAGATCCGCTCCTGAAACAGCCAGTGTGTGACGACAGCACGGTGAAAATGCAGGTCGTTCAGCGCCGTCCGCGTTCTGGTGACTGCCAGAATGCTCTCTTTTGTTTTCGATTTGCCGTAAGTCCCGCATGAAGGACGCGCAGAATGCCGACCAAAAATTTGAAAATGTCATTGAATTGAGCGACGTTGACTCGCTGCGCTCCGTGGTATTTGCCCGCGCATGACCCCAGCTCTGTACCTCGCGCAATTCGCCATTGGTCATGCAGTGAGCCCGCCGAGTGACTGTATGGGCATGGCGGGCCTTACAACAGCCCTGTCCTTCGCCCTATTCGCCATCGATCATGCAGTGAATCCGCCGAGTGGCGTGTGGCGTGTGGTTGTATGGGTACGGCGGGCTTTACGACACTGCAGGGTACAGTTTCAGTCGGAATAGGCGTCCTCCGCCGTAGGGCCTCGACATGAGCACGGACCGCCATGACTGGTGTAAGCGGGCGGGCGACCTGCGCCCTGACGTGTCGAAGCCTATAAGTGTCGCTGGTCACATGCGTCCCCGCCAGAGACTGCGAACGGAACCCTCGCCGTCCTGCCCCCGCTGACGCAGCGAGGCCTCAGCCGGCTGATAGGCTCTCGGGCCCGGGATTTCCGGTCACGTGACTGGCGCGGGAGGGCGTCTCACGGCTGCCGGCTCTCCGTGACCGTCTCACCGGAGAGTGGTCACGGCGCCGGGGAGCGGGCCGATGGCTGCGACCGTAGTACCAAATGGCCCGGGCCCCGAGACGAACCAAGACAGGGAGTGGTCGTTCTCTCCTGCTCGCGAACGTGGTGGCCAGTTACGGTTCGGTCGTCATGTTCTACGCAACCGAAAGACCTGTAAGTGCGTCCAAAGCAAGCGCCTTCCCCACCAAATGGGGCATGCGTGTGTTCACATCCCGCCACGTCAAGGGTTGACCGATCAGGACGTTTTCGACCTCGTTCCGGTCGGTGCGGGTTCAGACGTACTACTCCGGTACAGACGTACCCTTCGCCGGTCGTCGTCCATGATCTGCAGCAGCACGTGGACCGAGTTTCTACCCAGGTACCAGTCGTGGCGGGCGTCGTATTCGCCCAGCAGGCGCGCCAGCTGGTCCGTGTTGACGTAGTTGTCGTCGTCGAAGTGGCAGAACCATCTGAAGCGCCAGCGAACGGCTATGACCCATCTGAATCGTCAGGAAACGGCTCCGAAGCATCTGAGGCGGAGGCCTATTCGGAGCGGATTTTGTCCCGACTAGGAGCAGGGGAGCCCCACGCATGTAAGTTTAAGCGGGCCTAATCGGATTTTGAATCGTAAATACTTTCTGCGGGAGACATAAACAAGATGTGCTTCCGAGCTTAATGTGATATCTGCCTCATGCATCGAAAACTGATGTGTATGCAGAGCCTTGCAACATCACGGACCTGTTAAAGTAAGTGCCTGCGAAACTGGGAGGCCTGTTCCGGTTGGAAGGTTTGTCGCGCAAGGATTTCGTGGTCCCTAACCTCAGCCAAGTGCACTCTTCGGTTCCAAACGTGCTTGCTGCCGCATCGTAACCCATCCATAGAAGAAAAACATTTGAGAAATTACACGGGCAAATTTCGCTGCTAAAGAGCCTTGCGACCAAGAGTCACCGCCCATTCTTCAAAGCACTGGTTCAACCTCAATAACTATAAAAAAACCGCGCGGTCACGTCATCTGGCGGGCCCCATCCGTGAGTCTAGGAATCCGCGAGGACATCCAGAAATGAGGACTCCGCGAGGATGTCTAGACTCGAGACGAGTCTGCGACTGCACAGACGGGTCACACGATGTCACGTGACTGAGCTTTTGTGAACGTCGCTCGTCAAAAATCCTCGGTCAGAACACCTCGCAGCTTGAGAGCTACTAATCGCTGTCACCGATGAAGGATTAGTGAGGACCGCAGTAAGTGTAATGCATACGAATGCACCAGAAGGGAGACAGACCTTTCACCACGTCCACTGCCGGCCGGCGTCTCCAACGCAACGCAACGTGTGTCCCATTGCTACGTGTCTGACGATTACTGATCATCTCATACGCGTGCCTGCAAGCGGACATCAGCCTGGAGCCCAAAAAGATCGCAGGGTCCGATTTAAGGGGTGTTTAAACATGGGGCACCATGGGATCCTGGATCCGCCCCTCGATCAAGCCACCGGTCTGCCTATAGGCATACCTAATCGTTTAGTGCCCACGATTGCACATCATACCAAGGCGTATCGGCGGTCAAAACATAGGGCACCAAAAGTAATGTACTCCTAATGAACCACTTTGTGTCGCATATGACACCAAATAATGCGGTAAACACCGTTGCCAGTGCTCACAGTATATTCACCATTAAAACACCGCTAACCACAACGCACCGCTTTAAAAACGTTCAACCCCCTCCGCTGCCAGCAGCGCCATGATACCTGCACTGGCAGAGTCTGTTCGGATCAGCTGAGCAGATGTCGTGCCCAGATGAGGGGGAAGGGAGGACGCTTGGTCGGCTTGGGGGGGGGGGGGGGGCGCTCGGCGGCCCGTGGTTGGGGCGGCTCCAGAAAAACACGCCACCTGCGAGCGGCGCTGAGTGGTGAGTGCGCAGGCCACGGCTGATCAGCGAACACATCGGCCATGAACGCGTTCAGCCGGTGGAGCCGCCCGGCCAGAGCGGGCTGGGTGAGGCCGCGTCCGGCGCCCGACCGTTCTTGTGCTCTCAAAACGCTGGCTAGCGTGACCGGCAGCCGTTGCGTTGGCTGATGGATCTAGGCACGTCACCCACAATCACTGCTTGTCGGCAAACATCGCCCAGTGTTGAGCGTTGCACCTATGATACTATTTCAATCTACAACATGCATTTCCAATATATGTTAAGACCTACACCTATGTGTGTGAGCTGCTCATGTAACCAAACTGAGCTTAATGAATAGTTTTTCATAGTTTCAACTTAATACCCAACAAAGCTTGCATAATTATTATAGTTACCCACACATTTGCATACTTTTGTGTTCAATTTAGGTAGTTCGATGTTAAAAATGAGTGCTTCATTTAGGTGATCTAAACATACTAGCTACGCTTAACACAAGGATACCCAGAGCTGTAAACGGCGCTGCTCCACTTCAAGCATGGTGGCGGCCACAAATCTGCCGTCCCCAACCTGTCACTCTAAACGTCCCGACGCAGACGCATGTGCGCAGCGGCGACGGTTCGGTACCGCTCACGGCTGACACCGTTCATACTTTATACCGCAGAGCAAAAATGACATTCCTCAGGCATCGGCCGAGCCCCATTCCAGCAGCCTATCGGAAATAAGGTGTTATAACCTCTCATGGTCAATGACAAATGCCCACATATCTGCCATGCGGTCCGAGCGAATATCTCCAACTTAGCTGCGCTCTGTCGTCCACCTCAGTTTGGGACCGTGACTTGGCACTCGTCGTTGAAAGGATTGTGACCATCCAACAAGTATTTGTCTTAAATATCCTGGCATACGGTATGCACCCTCCTGATCTACATCATTACTTACTTTTCACCATGGGTTTCTTTTTTGGTAACATGGAAATCCTGCGAAGTTTCGGCCGTAAGCAGCCATGATGGGTAGTGAAGACTGGGGTGCTTTAACTAGGACGGCGCTTTAGTGCATAACGCTTGTCCGTTCCTAGTATTAAAGGTCGAGTCGATTAGTCGTTCATAAGATCGCGGATAGGTCACCAAAGCTGTAATACTTCAGGTGCTTGGACTGATTTCAGTTTAAATACTCCTTTATGGGAGCATCAGTTACGGCGTCTTAGGAAAAATACAATTGCAGCCCCCTTTAGGCTGAGCCAATTACTTCAGCTGACCACCCAGTCTCAAGCACGCACGGGAAGAAGACACCCTCACCAGGATGACTGTCGGGACATGTGTGGACATAGCATGAGTGCCAAGACGTGGCTGTTGCGCACTTTCATGATCATCCGGTCATCACATCAAGGCACGGGATTTCGCGGTCCCGGACACAGCCGAACCTCGTATGGCAGTACCGAACGGGCGGAGAACACAGATCAGTGAATGTGCATGCAAGGCGGGCACGCATCGACTCTTGCACGCTACACTGGTGAGGAGTGGGCTCATTCACTTAAACTCCGTGTCATTAAATACTGTAGAATGGAATCGGCTGCCGCGTGCTGCATACACATTACATACATACGCACGTACAGACAGCAGACAGACAGATAGGGAGGCGGACAAACACTAACTTAACAAAACAGACAACGATTGGCAATAACTGGACAGGCAGGGGACGGACGGACGGAGGGACGACCAGCCAGCCAGCCAGCCAGAAAGACGGGGACAAAAGCGCGGAGGTCTCCTATCCCGAGGACCTCCCGTCATTAGTGCGTCACCCTTTTTGCGATGGCGGGCGAGGCGCACCACGCTGTGATTGCCGCGGAGACCGTACCGCTTCCCGCACTGTCCGGCGTAAAAACCGCCGGTCAACAAAAACGCCGAGGCCGCCGCGATGGCACCTGCTCACCTAATTTCGGCCAGTCGCGGGTGGAGGTCGGAAAAACAGCTGGCCACCGTCCGCTCTCTTCACGTCGGAGCCCAGCGAACAACGGCTCGTCATGCACTATAGCCGTGCGTATTTATGTTAGGCGACATCAGTTGACTAGCTGGATTTAATCAACCGGTTAAAATGACCAGAAACAGTATGGTTCCCTCCTCGAAGCGTGTAGCCAGAAGTCAGCCCGGGCAAATTAATTTCGAAACGGAGACTGCCGACTCAGACAAACGAACAATAGCAAACAATGAAAAGCCGCAGTCGCACACGAATAGTCATATGACTTCAAGTCCCTGCCTAGCTTGTCGCCATGATGAAAAGTATAGCCCCGTGGTTGCTGCGTTCAAAATCACTATAGAGGTAGGAGTTCACCACGGATGAGTCAGACTTGACTCCCTCCTCATTAGGGGGCCGTTTGACAAAGAGGAGCAGCTGCAGCAGCATCGCGAAAGCGACTGGCATGTGGGTGCTTCATGGCAGCATGCAGAAACACATGCGATACGTTATCCCCACAGGGAACCTAGCATCCGAGCTGGAAGCACTCGCGAGTTCATTGAGACCTTTGATATCGCCAACAACCCTGCACTTCCGTACAGATGCGAATGGACGCTTCAAACTTTACGGCGCAGGAAGAAGAAACGTAGGGGCAGCAGTTAACATTTCTGCACACGGAACGACGCAGTTGAACCTACTTTTTGCCGGACGCCATGAAGGCGTCGTACTCGGCGGCCATCTTGCAACAGAGAGCGTCTCGGTCGTGTGACGACGGACAGTTGGTGTTGATCACCTGACCTCCTGCAACGCATGGAGCAATTGCTGCGCGCGCAGCGTGGCTCGCTGTTGGAATCTCGCGTCTTTACGGTGTCGGCGTAACACCCCGGAGCTAAATTATACCTTCGACAAATCCCCGCCCTCTCTTCCCGGCCTGTGCGAGTGGTCCTTCTGTTTTACAGCAGGACATTACCCCACTAATGTATATTTAACCTCAGGGTTTGCTGCAGCGGGAAAGAATGCACTGAGAATAATCTGTTTAGAATAGTGCCGACATATGGAGATGTAGGGGTAGGAGTTCGCCACGGATGAGTCAGACTTGACTCCCTCCTCATTGGGGGGCCGTGGGACAAAGAGGTCTTTCATAGGCAGTCTTTCATGAGTGGGCTGAAATGCCAATTATCTTCAGCTTAAGAAAATAATTATCTCGCCAGAAGCCGGCAAGCTGAGTAGAGAGCGAGAGAATCACCCCCGAAAGCGGCAGAAAACTATCATTGAAGTCGGCCGGTGATACATTATAGCCCTACGTAACGCGTTCATTATCTTCCTTCCGTCAGTTGGTTTGGGATCGTCGATAGCTTACGCTACGCATGGAAGGAAAGAGGGAGAACATTGATAAAGCGTAACAGAAGCGTGACAAGGGAGGGATCGGAAGTTTTGAAAAAGCGTAACGTCGTGCTAAAGTGTGACTGCAAAGCGTAAATAGAGATGAAAGTCTGAAAACCACCTTAAACCCTCAAGGCCGGGTGTTCTGTCTTCCTCACATGACATGGAACTCGCCCGCTATCTGTTTTGCACCTATCGCTGAATTGCAGCCACACAGACGTTACTTTTTGGGAACGTTACCTTAAAGCGTAACCGGCGGGGGGGGGGGTACCCCAACGTAACCGGCTCGTGACCAGGGAGAGGGGGTTTGGAAAGTCAAAAATGCGTAACGTGATTTCTGGATGGACCCTTATCCTATATTTTTTTCGTAATTCACGCTAGTAGGAAAGATAACCGCTCGATTTCACTTGCACCAAACATAACATGCCGCGTGAAATATCGCATTTCTTTGACGCTTTTTCTATGGGCTTTTGAACGCATCAGGCAAGAAATACTCTTCTTCATTTTATGAGGTCGGACATAGGTTATCATGGGCACCACACATATCACTCAGTTCCGCTGCGACGTCGGCAGGCATTAACATCAGCTGGCGTCGCGACACACATGAGCTGGCGTCGCGGGGACCTACGGAACACTAGCATCGGCTTATATACACCTACAGTTCAGAACTACAGTTCGACTTCTTATTCTAACAGACACAAACAAGTTCAAAGGAATTTCATATGGACAGTGCATGTGCGGCAAAAAAACGGATATTTCGCGATTTCCCAGTCGTCAGTTGAACTGTATCATGTTCACACATGCTCCACGTTTACAAACAGTGTTGTCAGCCATACATCTCACCCGTTCTTTGCCGCAGCTCCGGATCTTCCTGATCCGTGAAAAACCACGTCTGAAAACGAAAACATGCGGTCACTTTCACGGAACTCGGACTGCCATACTCACGAATCTGATGGCGGAAGATGAACCGAAGTCAATGTGAGGAAACACAGCCACATTGTAGACATAACATAGCGGTGGTTGAATGCATGGTCATTACAAACAACTCTACCCAGAAACACAGCATACGTTTTGTGCAGCGCTTTTGGCGCTCGTATTTCGCCTAACTCATAATGTCGCATCAAAAAGCTTGTTTATAACTAGTCCATTTAAATGGGGCGCACAACTCAAAAATTTGGCAGCCATGCAGTTGTCTTGGTTTCTGTATGCTTCCAGATGCCCTACCTTACTCAGCACTGCTCTCAAACTGAAGCTCATAAATACATTAATAGTTTGCCCGGGAGAGGCTGCAGGACAATTTGCCTCGGTGCTGTAAAAAAACAAATTTGCACAATGGCAGTGTGTTTGCTGTAGCATGTCTTGTCGCCTATTGTTTAGCGCGCACACTGCATGCACAACATTAAAAAGAAGTAGACCATTGACCAGCTTAAAGACACGCATGACACAGCACTACAGCTCTTCCATCTGCCTGCAGTCTTATGCTTCCTCCACAATTCCACATCTAGGCCTTGGGTGGGCATGTTTTCGCGAATCCTCCTCAGGACTCTTGCGACCACCGCGGGCGGCACGTTTCGCGTGAGGGTCAGCCCCCCCCCCCCGGCAAACGCTGTCAGCATCGACCCTTCCCTCTCCCCAGCCCCTCCACGGACCGCGGCCGGTGACTGGAAGCCGTCGCTATCTGTCGAAGCCGAGCCCACCTGTCCGCAGAGGGGGAGGCCTCAGTGAGTGTCTGCGCGCCTAAGAGCGTCCGGTCGCCTTCCGGGGTGCGGGACAGAGGAGCGGGTCGGGCCAGGCTCGGCCGGCCTCGCAGAGCACGCTGCAGGGACGAGCCTCCCAACTGTATGCCGTCGACTCGCGAGAACTGAGCTGCCATGAACGGCGCCCAACTACAAATAGCAACTACAAACTAAGCTAAACTGCTACTACGGCACTTGGGTAAAATGTCCCTCTGGCCGCTGGAGACTAGACTGTATCACATCACACAGTAGACATCATATGACCACGGCAAACGGAGCACTTCAACTCCCCCCTCCCCAATCAGCAGTCATCATTTGGTGCAGTTTGTCGATGGGTGCACATCGCTCGTGCCGCCACCGGACAGTGGACCGTCAAGTCATTGTGCACGCGTTTCTTCCCCGCGGTCGCACCACACACGTGCGCAGGCCAAGAAAATGTAGATTTTCAGTCACGCCTGACCAATGCCAGTGTTTCAGGTAAGCAAATGAACGGCCACCGAGCTTGAATGCTCCGGAAATCACAGCGGCAGGTGACGGGCGAGCGTCCTTAGGCCCGGACTTCAGTCCTGCCACCTTACCGCTGCAAGATTATTATTATTTTGTTAAATTGTCGTCAGTAACTTCTGAGCTCGTTGAAGCCCACAAATTGTTGCAATGCTAGCTCATCTGACTGCAATGTTCAATGCGATTGTCATCTGGTCCTCCAGCACAGTGGCATACATGATGCAAGGATGGTTAGGTGAGGATGTTGGGTAGGTGGGCAGGAGGTACATAAGGTAAGGATGAGTTGCATATGCAAACTCTTGACATGCGTATCACACTGTTCAGGTGTGAACTTTTGTTATTGCTGGTGTCCTGGACACATTTAAAAGCTCTTCATTCTGTTTGAATCCACGCACATGTCACACGTGCAGGTAATGATGGCTGAACGCAACGTCTATGCCAGCAGACACCTGGACACAATTTGCAGCCGGAAACAATAATTCTCATGTCTTAGTCGAAATCGTCGCCAATACTTGGCCTGGAGAGCACACCTGGCACGAATACGCGAACCGTCCAGTGTAACATTGTATACCGGACGTTATCAAAATAGCAGATTGGAGGGACTGCTTAAATCGTAACATGGCACGCTTAGGCGTGTGCAGTTTTATGAAGCATGACTTAACATGTCCCTTTGGACGGCCTGATGTGCAATAAAAACATGCCCATATGCATTTCCGGGCCATGAAATACGTGGCCCCGCTCGTGCCCTGAAAGCAGCCCCATGCCCCTGACAGTGCGTCCAAGTCAAAGCAGCTGGTGAGACGCCGGCCTCCATAATTGGCAGGTGAGTGATTTACTGAACTTATCGAGAGGACCAGCGCTGGCCAAGAATGCAATGCATTTTTCCGAGACGCGATAACACGGGCGTGCATTCGTGTTACCGCAGCCCGGTCACACACAGCCGCCCTGCATATGCGTGTGACCTGCGGCTTCCTGGATTGAAAAAGCATCATCTGCAGTATCGGGACTTGTAGTTCCGTGACCACCCCCCACCCTCACACACACACACAGGTAACAAGATTGTTCGGTGCAAGCAGCAATGACCGGGCTATTGTAGACGTCACCTGTAGTCACGTGATCTCTAGTCATCTGGCCCGACGGCACCTGACTTGCAGGTACGTGACCGAGGCCCACGTGGTGCCGCGACCCCGCATTCTTCATAACGGAATGGAAACCCAGCATAGTTTTGGGTGGGCCCGGTGGGTCAATAGCAATCTATCACGCTCAGTAATGTTACGCCATCATATGTCACATGCCAAAAATAGTCGTGCAAACTGCCCCAGTTTCGTCGCCAATGTTTGTTCCCTAATTTGCCCACGACGAGGCCAGGTTGAACCCTATCATTCATGGTTTACGAAGTGTCGCGTTCATGACGCATTGTAGCCTAAACGTGCACCATCAGAAGGATTGCACCAACAACACCATTGCTACTGTGGTAGAAGTACATCACGATATAGCTGCGATTGGTGAGCCAGGAGCACTCTGTGGCCGACAGTGGCTTGGCGAGATCTGGTCTTACTTCAGCCGCTTTACAGTCACAAGTGGCCTAACGATGCCAGTCACTGCGGCATGTGGGTGCTGTTTGCCTTCGCGTGAGGGCACTCCGAGGGTCCGTACCTGAGTGGGGACGCGGCTGAACCACGTGTCCAGGATGGGAGGCAGACGGGTGACGTGGAACTGGCCCGACGTCTTGACGCTGATGAACACATCGCTCAGACAGTCCCCTGGGGCCGCTAGACTATCGCCGGAGGTCACCATGGGGTCATCAGAGGTCGCCAGATGTTCACCAGAGGCCACCGGACGGCCAGAAAAGGGCGATGGGCTGCTTGACTTTGTTGTGGTGGCGCCACTGGACATGGCGGCATCTCCAACAGACGTGGCCATGATTTGACCTTCCTCCAGCGGCCGCGTGAAGCCCACGCCCTCCGCCGATCTTGACATGCGCGACAGGCGCCGGGTCAGGTCACTGAGTCCACTCCGGTCACCGGGTCCACTCCGGTCGCCGAGTCCACTCCGGTCACCGGGTCCACTCCGGTCGCCGAGTCCACTCCGGTCACCGGGTCCACTCCGGTCGCCGAGTCCACTCCGGTCACCGGGTCCACTCCGGTCGCCGAGTCCACTCCAGTCACCGGGTCCACTCCGGTCGCCGAGTCCACTCCGGTCACCGGGTCCACTCCGGTCGCCGAGTCCACTCCGGTTATCGGGTCCCCTCCGGTCGCCGAGTCCACTCCGGTTATCGGGTCCACTCCGGTCTCTGGGTGCCCCGCCAGTGCCACCCACCCTGACCCGCGCCGCCGCCGGGCCTAGGAACACACATATTCCGAGTGCACAGACCACCTGCAGGGCGCCCCGTGCCGACCCGTGTCGATCCGCGGCCATAGCGCGTCCGAACGGTGCTGAGCGTGCGGACGCGCGCGCGCGCCCGCAGCAGGCTCGCGCGGGACTGAGGCGGCGCCGGCGAGGGGTGGACGGGGGCTGGTGCTAGCGTCCTGGAGCCGCCCGGCACCGCAGTCTCCATCCGCCGCCGCCCCCTGCCGCTGGCTCTGCACCTGCCGGGGGACGGGAAAGGGAATGGCAGGGTATCGCAGCACTGTCCGTCCGCTATCAGTATTCTTCAAGTACTTCACCTTTTTTAAAAGAAGAAAAATCTCCACCGCGAGCGTTTTACGCGCAGTGCGGCACGGGCTCAGCCAGCTCTCGCCAATTGGAATTATACAGGAGGTGTACTACTTGAAGAGGGTGCTACTGCAGTCCGTCCGCCAATGATGGCAACATCTGACGGCAATGCATGAGTCTTATTCATCGGACCGAAGTCTTGCATATCCACCGACATCGTCAGCAAGATGTGTTTGGTCCTAATAAGTGTGAATCGCATGATCCGGACTCGTGTGTGAGGTGCACTACGCTAACAGACGTATATGTACCGTACCAAAAACGCTGGCCTTGCTTCAGTCTTCGTTTCCCGGGGCTTGGTCCGTTTGCTTAGGGTGGCTGTTGGCATATTATCTCGGCAGAGTATGTCTCTAGATGTCAGAGTGATTTCAGGCCTTGCTCATTGGAATTGTACAAGAGGTGCACTACTTTAAGAGGGTGCTACGACATTCCCTCTGCACGACATGATGGCGGCATCTCACGGCAATGCATGAGTCTTATTCATCGGAGCGACGTCTTGCATTTCCATCGACATTGTCAGCACGACGTGTTTAGTTCTAATAAGTGTGAATCGCATTATCCGGACTCGTGTGTGAGGTGCACTACGCTAACAGACGTATATGTACCATACCGAAAACGCTGGCCTTGCTTCAGTCTTCGTTTCCCGGGGCTTGGTCCGTTTGCTTACAGTGGCTGTTGGCATATTATCTCGGCAGAGTACGTCTCTGGATGTCAGAGCGGTTTCTAGGTCTCGCCAATTGGAATTATACAAGAGGTGCACTACTTGAAGAGGGTGCTACTGCAGTCCGTCCGCCAATGATGGCAACATCTGATGGCAATGCATGAGTCTTATTCATCGGACCGAAATCTTGCAGTTCCATCGACATTGTCAGCACGACGTGTTCAGTTCTAAACGTGTGAATCGCATTATCCGGACTCGTGTGTGAGGTGCGCTACGCTAACAGACGTATATGTACCGTACCGAAAACGCTGGCCTTGCTTCAGTCTTCGTTTCCCGAGGCTTGATCCGTTTCCTTAGGGTGGCTGTTGGCATATTATCTCGGCAGAGTATGTCTCTGGATGTCAGAGCGATTTCAAGCCTTGCTCGTTGGAATTTGAGGGCTTTTAGAGCACGA